CTTCTGCTGCAAACTGTGCGGTTTAGTCATTAACCTGTCTTGCCGGTCTATTATCTGCAGTGGTGGTGGCTGAAAATCGACTCCTATGTGTGATCTTTGCCTGCATGTGATCGCGCTAACCTAGCCGTTGATGAGTATACGCATTCTGTGCCACAGGTTGGAACAATGACCGATAAAAGAGGTTAAAATGAAACCAATTACCTGGTGAATGAACCGCTCCTTCAGATCATTCGAGATCAGTCGGCGCATTCGGTTACGAGTTTGTGAATCAGCGCTTGGATTGGCTGCAACTGTAGGAACAGGTTGCTCATCCACCAAGTCACTGGTATACCCAAAGTTCCGCTGTACTAGCCGCTCGGTTGGAGCATCCGACGAGCGTGAATGATCTGCGTCCGAAGCAAGACGGAGTGGTCTGGGTTCCGGTATAGGTTTCAAGTCTGGTAAATAGTATCCCAAGATCATAGCAATAAAATGCAGACAAAGCACAACGTGTCGCATCAAATTGATGGCCTCTTTGTCGGCTGTCGTATAAGACCAAGGATGACGACGATGCCACTGATAGAAGGAATACTCCATTCCCCTAAGTGAACGAAATATGGAAAATACAATTTTGCATCTCATTGAAATAAGAGAGAAGCCTTTGAAATGGTTCCGCAGACATAAATACGCTGAATATGACGGCAAGCAAGAACACCGTACACTTCACCCAGACACCGAAAATTGGACCGATAAATCACTAACAGATGCGGTTCACTATAAACTTCAAAACGAATAGGTCGTGTTGGGTGCCTCAGGGAGAAAAGCATGTTTCCTCTCGTCAATTTGAGGTGTAGTTCGATGATTGAACTGAGAAAGTTCACAAAAGACGACGTGATACAAAGCAATTTCCAATCTGAGGTCATTGCCTCGCTATCGTAGTTTATGTTGGTTTGTCATTTCGACATATGGATACACAAATACACTGCGTATTGAAGTTAATCCCAAGAAAGAGACAGCAAGCACTTTTGTATCATAATTATACAGATGAACACGATCTCAAGTGCCAACGGTCTTTAACAAATACAAAGCCGCTATCAAGAACAGTTATGCGACAATGAAATCGGACGTTAGGAACTACTAAACTATTCAAAATCATGTTAAGAAACACCAAAAATATTTCTTGTCCACATCACCGAAAAGTTGTGATTGATTGATCGTTTCAGTAACAATCAGGAACTACATTCCGTGAGTTTGGGTGATCAAAAAAGGAATAGATATCATTTAACAAAAACATTAGGCACGTGAATAGGGTGCTACCTACAACGGAGTTCACGAAGTATATGATAGGAGTGGTACCCCAAGGCTGATAGACTGTCGTGTCCTCTGGGGCTTATTCCACCGGTTCGGTCTCCTACAACTGTAGCCCCAAGAAACTGAGACATACATCAGCAACCCGGGCTAAAACCTGTTAAGGGTGACGGGTGCCTCAAAACGTTTGGAGAAATCTCACGCAGCAAGTAAAGATAGCTATTTTTCGGTGGGCAGATCAGACCTACAGCTCGATGCGACGAGATTACTTCAACTAAAACGAGCAACCATCTGTCAGTACACCACTGCCATTTAGTTAGTACTTTGCTGCGCAAAGCCTGGAGGTGCGTCTGTTTCGGACTTTGAAGCTAATTTCTACTGCATGAGGACAAGTCGGCTTCATGGATCCCATCATTCTGCATCTTGAGTGTAGTATACGAGACATTCCCAGTACCACCGTGCTTAAATCAAGATGCTTTCAAATGATGTTAGTCGCAGAAAGATCGAAAAAAGAACCATGATCTAAAACGCAACCACCAATCGACCGCGATCGTATATGCAACGAGGCATGGTTCACATACCAACCGCGCGAATGGCCTTTCTCCTATCCGCAATCTGAAGACGTGCCGGTAACTTACAACTCTGTCGGCCTCAGCGTTGTAGTGTTATACCGTCATTAGCCCTCAGGCTTTAGTTCATGATCGCGGTCTGTATGAAACCGCTTTATCCTGTCAGAGGAGTTGATCAAAGTGAAGTAACGTAAGTATTACTAGCGATCAGTTTAAAACCATAAATGCTTCTTCCCTTTCTTTCTGAGAAGTGAAAATGATATAAAGATACACGAATCAAAGTCAACATGATGAATCGTTACGTGGTCATAAGAAACACCTTAACACTAACCGTTCAATATTATCCACAGCTAATTCCAGACAGTCGACAATAAGCACAGGATCCAAATCCACAGCCGGAAGTCCGCCATAGTTGTTCGTTAAAACAAACTGGAACAACTCGGCAAAACTGACAAAGGCAGCCTGCGAAACGTGACAGAGTGGTTCAAGAAAGATACGTTGCAGTTCTATGGCATAGCGCCACAGGTTTAAACACTGACGAAAGTTGTCTGCATCCGCGTAAATTGCTCCTCGATATCTGAATAAAGATGAAAACAAAGAAAAGAGAAATTTTACTGAACGAACGCTGCACTAGTGATGTGGTATTCCTGAAATAATCATTGATATTTAC